GGGAGGCTGAGATGGGCGGATCACGAGGTCAGGGGATCAAGACCATCCTGGCTAACACGGTAAAACCCTGTCTCTACTAAAAAAAAAAATACAAAAAAAACTAGCCGGGCAAGGTGGCGGGCGCCTGTAGTCCCAGCTACTAGGGAGGCTGAGGCAGGAGAATGGCGTAAACCCGGGAGGCGGAGCTTGCAGTGAGCTGAGATCGGGCCACTGCGCTCCAGCCTGGGCGACAGAGTGAGACTTCGTCTCAAACAAAAGACAAAAAACAAACAAACAAAAAAAATTTTTTAATTAAAAAACATTTTATTGACAGCTCCTTGTGAAGAAGGGCTACCCCACAGGCCGTTTGTCTAGAGTGGCCTTAATTGAAATTTTTGTTACGATCATTGTAGATTCCTGTACAGTTATAAGAAATAAAACAGAGAGGCTGGGTGTGGTGGCTCACGCCTGTAATCTCAGCACTTTGGGAGGCCGAGGCAGGTGGATCACCCAAGGTCGGGAGTTCGAGACCAGCCTGCCCAACATGGAGAAACCCCGTCTCTACTAAAAATTCAAAATTAGCTAGGCGTGGTGGCTCATGCCTGAGGCAAGAGAATCGCTTGAATCCGGGAGATGGAGGTTGAAGCAAGCTGAGATTGTGGTATTGCACTCCAGCCTGGGCAACAAGAGGGAAACTTCGAAAAAAAGAAAGGAAAGAAAGGAAAGAAAGGGAAGGAAGGAAGGAAGGAAAGAAGGAAGAGAAAGAAAGAGGGAGGGAGGGAGGGAGATCCCATGTACCCGCCTTCACTCAGATTCCCCAATGGTAACATCTCCCAGAACTACTGGACACCATCACAGCCGGGGTGTGACTGCTCTTGCTTAGGTTTCCCCGGTTTTCCTTATACTCATGCATGTGTATTTACTTCTGTGCAATTTTATCGCAGGCCGAGGCAGGCGGATCACCTGAGCTCAGGAGTTTGAGACCAGCCTGGGCAACATGGTGGAACCCTGTCTCTACAAAAAACACAAAAATTAGCCGGGCACGGTGGCACATGCCTGTAGCCCCAGCTTCTTGGGGTCTGAGATGGGAGGATCACTTGAGCCCAGGAGGTGGAGGTTGCAGTGAGCCGAGATTGCACCACTGCACTGCAGCCTGGGTGACAGGGTGAGACCCTGTGTCAAAAACAAAAACAAACAAATAAACAGAATGAGAGTATGCAACCTTTTGGGATTGGCTCTTCCCCTCAGCAGACACCACTTTTCTTGAGCACCTTGATCTCATAGTCCCAGGGACGGCTTCTGTTATTCCCATTTCACAGCTGAGCAAACTGCTCCCACCTTCACCCCCCAGAGCCAGGGATCATGATGGCTGATTTGGGGAGCATCTCCTCCGGGAGAGGAGGGCAGGGGGTTGGGTGGAGGGCTGAGGCTGCAGCCTTCCCCAGCCCTGCTGAGACCCAGCTCCCTCTTCTGCAGCCTGTCTCAGAGTGGGGTCTCCTTTGTGCCTCCCACCCTGTCCCCAGGCCTGTCTCTTCCCTCAACGGAGAGGCCGTGAATGGGGGCTGCCGGGGGCCGAACCTGCTGATCCGAGGCCCAGCTTTGCCACAGAGAGGCTGTGTGACTAGCACGGTGGCCCCATCCTCTGAGCCTCAGGATCCCCTTGGGTAAAACAGGGGGAAGGGTCACACCCTGCAAACCCATGAAGATGCAATGAGGCGATGTGCGAGGCGCAGTCAGCGAAGTGCCAGGCGCAGAGTGAGCCCCCAGCGCACGCTGCGGAGAGCCGCCCGCAGCCCCATTTGGCAATGAATTATGTATGGCCTTCTGGCAGCCCTGCGTGTGGGGCTGCAAGCTCCCTCTGCTCCCCACCCCCCGCTTCTCTCTCCTGTGAGGGGCGCAGGCTCCCCCGGGGGGCGGCCAGTGTTCTTTGTCTCTCCTGCAGGGACCCCCTACCGGCTTCTCAAGGGTGGTGCCTCGATGCCCAGGATGCCCATTTCACAGGCTGGAGAACCAAGGGTTGGTATCGCTCAGGGTCTTTTTCAACAGATACTAATAACAACAATAGAGCACCACCAATAACAATAATAATCACCATCGTACCTGCTGGGCTCTGTGTGTGTGTGTGTGTGTGTGCGCCAGACACCTTTAACAGAAAATCCTTCATCCAACATAAACGCCCGCCTGTGCAGGCACTGTCCGAGGTGTTGGGGGCACAGCCCACAACAGAACAAAGTCTTCCCCTCACAGGGCTCAGGTGCTACCGTGGGAGAGCAGGAAATTAATAAATGAGTAATTGATGCCATAAAATGTCAGGTGACAGAGGCTATGCAGGAAGAGGAATGAGACGGGGTGGTCAGGGAAAGCCTCTGTGAGGAGGTAGCATTTGGGCAGTGCCCTGAAGGAGGTGAGGGAGCCCTCTCAGGAGGTATCGGGACGAATGTTCCAGACCAAAGGAACAGCCAGTCCAAAGGGCCTGGGGTAGGACCTGTGCCTGTGCCAGGCTCACCAGTGCAATGGGAGGCATCAGATTCTCCGAACAGCCCTGGGAGGTGCATACCACCATTGCCCCATTGTAGGGATGAGAAAACTGAGATTCAGAGCCTATTTAGAATCTTTCCTCGTCTGCTTTACAACAGTTACATAAATGTGTTTGGTTGGGGGTGTCAGGAAATATGTCATGTGTATCACATCATCTTTCTTTTTTTGGGGAGGGGGAATGGACTCTCGCTCTGTTGCCCGGACTGGAGTGCAGTGGCTCGATCTTGGCTCACTGCAACCTCCGCCTCCCGGGTTCAAGGAATTCTCCTGCCTCAGCCTCCCAAGCAGCTGGGATTACAGGCATGCACCACCACACCCGGCTAAGTTTTTTTTTTTTTTTTGTCGTTTTTTGCATTTTTAGTAGAAACAGGGTTTCACCATGTTGGCCAGGCTGGTCTCGAACTCCTGACCTCAGGTGATCCACCCACCTCGTCCTCCCAAAGTGCTGGGATTACAGGTGTGAGCCACTGCACCTGGCCCCATCTTTCTAAAACTGGGAAAATTCTGAGTTCTGGAACCATCTGCCCAGGGATTTGGGGTCAGAGATGGTGGGCCTGTCTGATCCTAGTCTTTGCCATGGTTATGATTGTGGCATCCCTGCCTGTCTTCTATCACGTGCCTCAGCCTGTTTTTCTTTTCCCTTGCCAGGCTGCAAGCCCCTGATATCAGACTAACAGGAGCACAGCATTTCATGGTCTAAAGACACTATGTTAGGGTGAAATTCTGTTCTTCTATCTTCCCCCCTTGCACGGAGAGGACCCTCATTCCTACCCCCACCCTCGCCTCACTGTACCAGGCACAGGCAGAGCCCAGGTGCTGCCTCTGCTTGTCTGCAGTTGCCGACGAAGCCTGCGCTGTGCATTCGGCAAGTCTGGAGAATTGAAGACCCAGGCCCTTGGCCATATCACCGCAATGCAGGCCCAGAGGTGGCAGGCGGGAGCTCATCGATGAATCTGCCAGTGTCAGTCCCAGAGCGGACCCCAGAGGTGTTCAGGCGTGGACTCGCACTATCTGACATTTCCATCGATGGCCTGCATGAGGAATGAACGGTGAGCATCCTCTTTCCTTCTCCAGCTGGGGGTGGAGGGTGTGAGCCAGCTCACCGAGAGGAAGCCAGTTACAGAATCAGAATGACTCAGGCTGGGCTCTGTCTGTGGTGCGTGTCTGCAGTCCCAGCTGCTTTGGAGGCTGAGGCAGGAGAACTGCTTTAGTCCAGGAGTTCGAGGCTGCAGTGTGCTATGATCATGCCTGTAAGTAGCCACTGCACTCCAGCCCGGGTAACACAGCGAGACCTCGTTTCTAAAAAACAAAAACAAAATGACTCACTGTAAGGGCGGGGTGGCCAGAAATCAGGGACTGGGAACCTGTTGGGGAAGAAAAATCACATAGCAGCAGCCTCCTCCCAGCCTTCCTGCCTCCAAGTTTGCCCATCTAATCCATCTTACAGAGCTCCCAGCTTAATCGTTCCAATTAATCCTCCTTCCTGAGCCAGCAAACCTTCCATGTTGCTCCTACTTGCTTCCAAAGGTAGTTCAGTCCCTGGCCCCAGTGTCTCTCCCAGGTGTCCTCCTCCTCTTGGAGCACACCAGGCTGCCCACCGGTTGAAAGCCTTTGTCTGGCCGGGTGCAGTGGCTCATGCCTGTAATCCCAGCACTTTGGGAGGCCAAGGCTGACAATCACCTGAGGTCAGGAGTTTGACACCAACCTGGCCAACATGGTGAAACCCTGTCTCTACTAAAAATACAAAAATTGGCCAGGCGTGGTGGCTCACGCCTGTAATCCCGGCACTTTGGGAGGCTGAGGCAGGCAGATCACGAGGTCAGGAGATCGAGACCATCCTGGCTAACACAGTGAAACCCCATCTCTACTAAAAAAATACAAAAAATTAGCCGGGTGTGGTGGCGGGCGCCTATAGTTCCAGCTACTCGGGAGGCTGAGGCAGGAGAATGGCGTGAACATGGGAGGCAGAGCTTGCAGTGAGCCGAGATCGGGCCACTGCACTCCAGCCTGGACGACAGAGCGAGACTCCGTCTCAAAAAAAAAACAAAAAAAACCCCCAAAAAACTAACAGGGCCTAGTGGCACACACGTCTGTAATCCCAGCTATTTGGGAGGCTGAGGCAGGAGAATCGCTTGAACCTGGGAGGAGGAGGTTGCAGTGAGCCGATATCACGCCACTGAACTCCAGCCTGGCTACAGAGCAAGACTCCGTCTGGAAAAAAAAAGAAAAGAAAGCCTTTGTCCATGCTGTTCTCTGTGTCTGGAACAGCATCACACTTGCAGGCCAGATCCACATCAGAGGAGACTCCGTTTTTACCCCTCTTGAGGGCCTCTCCAGTCCTCCGGCCCCACTCCATTCCACATCCTCACAGTCAACACAGCCCCACTTGCCTGGACTCTCAGAGCAGTCTCCCAGTAGGCCTCCCTGCCTGGGGATAAGTCCCAGCTCTCAACCTGGCACTCAGCGGCCTTCCTGATCAGCTGGGCTCCAGCTCTGTGATTCCCACCCACTGTTTGACCTGACACAGCTGCTTAAGTTTCTCTAGTTCTTCTAGATTACCCTGTTCTCTTACTTCAAGACCTTCTTATGTGTGGATTTCCTCTTCCTGGAACACTTCTCTCCCCTCTTGGCCCGCCTAACTTTTACTCATCTGTCAGGAAGCCATGTTGATTCCACCTCCTCTAGGAAGCCCTCTTGGATTTAGGGTCCCTCCTGTTGGCTCCCAGAGGTCCCATATCCCTTGCATCATCACAATTCCTCCTCCAGATTGAAGCTGGCTGCTTTGCCAGTCTCCTCTAGGCCATGGTCTCCTGAGGACAGAGCCGCACCCACATTGGCCTCTATCTCCTCCAGCTTGATCAGGGCAGGAGGTGCCCAAGAAAGCCCAGAAGGAAGGAGTGGGAAATGGTCCCACACGTGTATTAAGCTCCCACTCCATGGTGAGTCCAGTCCAGTAGCCTGGATTGCTCGGCCTTTCGGACATGGAGTTAGGTCACCATCTGGTCACAGCCTGCAGCCCCAGGCTCTTCTCTTTTCATCTATATAGTGGGCATAACCCTGGATCTTAACAGCCTTGTGAGATGCAAGGAAACACTAGACGCCAAGGGCTCATCCCAGTCCCGGGTAGATGATTTTAAGTATTTTGAGTTCCTATCATCAGTCGTTATTGGAGCTCTGGAGTCAACCTCTGTGGCTTCAAATCTTGGCTTCTCCTCTCCTGGCTGGGTGACTTTGGGCAAGTTACTTAACCCCTCTGCGTCTCGGTTTCCTCATCTGTAAAACGGAACTAATCATAAGCTTATTCTGTCTCTCAGGGTCCTGGAGAGGATGACATCAATTGATATGCATGCAGAGTTTGCACAGCGTTTGATGCAAGGAAAGGGCCGGGCAAATGCTGGCTGTGGTTGTTATTATATCAGGGTCACCCTGAGCATCTGATACCAGTGAAGAGACTCTGGCTTCTGGGGAAACTTCCAGAGCTGCAGATCTGAGCCGGGCAGGAGGAACTCTTAGACCTTGTGAAGCCTGAATTCCTGTCCCCTGAAGCTCTTAAAACCATTCCATTCATGTCTGCTGGTCAGTGTCACCAGGAAGTGCTTCCTTGTATCTGTCCTAAGTCTTTTCTGCGTTGATTTCTCTGGGTTCCCTTCCAGGTCAGATAGGAAGATGAGGGAAGGAGCCTTAAGGCTGTTTCATGTATCAATCCCAGAACTTCCCAGATCAGGCCGGAAGCCAGCAATGTGAGTCTCTGGCTCCTGGCGGGGCCAAGAGCCGGGAGGGGAGGGTTTGCCTGGCTCAGCCTCCTTCGAAGGTCTCCCAGCCACAGCCAGATGCAAAACCACCTTTGTTCCCTGAATTTCAGGCTGTGGGAGGGAATGGGGCCAGTGCCTGGGGCGAGGCTGGGGAGGGAGGAAGAGATGCAAAGATTGAAAATTCGAGGGAGGCCTAGAGCAGGAGGGAGGCAGGACAGGGCACCCTGGGCAGCCAGAGAGGGGCAGGGGTGTGGGAAACGGAGGGCGCAGAGCAGGGGCCAGCAGGGCTGGGAATAGGAGCCTCGGGGAGGCCGGCGAGGCGCGGAGAGGGAGGCCTCATACCAGACACTGTCTAGACGCAGCAATTATTGTCAGCTCGGAACACCCAGGCTCTGCCGGTTCAGCTGAAAGGGAGCTTAACAAAGAAGCAAGGGAGGAAGAAAGCAGGGAGAAAAGCCGGCTCCTGGCCTGTCGGGTTCTTTCTCTGCCTTGGCCACCCCTCTTTGTGTTCCACCAGCCCTGCGGGGGGGACCCCAATGTGAAAGCACAGCTCAGAGATGCCTAATGGGGACATGGCTCCTCCTGGACCCAGGGGGCTTGGCCAGGATCACTGTGTGGGTTTTTGGGAGGGAGAGGAGGGTGCTCTGGGCTGCTTCCTGCACGTGTATTTCTTTATATGGAGGCAGTGAGAACCGAATTCCCAGGGAGACAGCAGGCCCGAGAGTTTGAATTGCGATTCCCCCACCTTCCTGCTGTATATATAGCTCTGGGCCGACTACAGATTTCTCTGAGCCTTGGTCTTCTCGTCTGCAAAACAGGAAAAAGAACACTGCCTGGGCCAGGCGCGGTGGCTCACGCCTGTAATCCTAGTACTTTGGGAGGCTGAGACAGGCGGATCACTTGACGTCAGGAGTTTGAGACCAGCCTGGACAACACAGTGAAACCCTATCTCTAATAAAAATACATGGCCGGGCGCGGTGGCTCAAGCCTGTAATCCCAGCACTTTGGGAGGCCGAGACGGGTGGATCACGAGGTCAGGAGATCGAGACCATCCTGGCTAACACAGTGAAACCCCGTCTCTACTAAAAATACAAAAACTTAGCCGGGCGAGGTGGCAGGCGCCTGTAGTCCTAGCTACTCGGGAGGCTGAGGCAGGAGAATGGCGTGAACCCGGGACGCGGAGCTTGCAGTGAGCTGAGATCCGGCCACTGCACTCCAGCCTGGGCGACAGAGCGAGACTCCGTCTCAAAAAAAAAAAAAAAAAAAATCGGCTGGGCACGGTGGCTCACGCCTGTAATCCCAGCACTTTGGGTGACCGAGTCAGGCAAATCACGTGAAGTCGGGAGTTCGAGACCAGCCTGACCAACATGGAGAAACCACGTCTCTACTAAAAATACAGAATTAGCCGGGCGTGGTGGCGCATGCCTGTAATTCCAGCTACTCGGGAGGCTGAGGCAGGAGAATCGCTCGAACCTGGAAGGCAGAGGTTACGGTGAGTTGAGATGGCGCCATTGCACTCTACCCTGGGCAACAAGAGCGAAACTCCATCTCAAAAAAAGAAAAAAAAATTAGCTGGGCATGGTGGCGTGCACCTGTAATCCCAGTCACTTGGGAGGTTGAGGCATTAGAATGGCTTGAACCTGGGAGGCAGAGGTTGCAGTGAGCTGAGATTGCGTCATTGCACTCCAGCCTGGGTGATGGAGCAAGATTCTGTCTCAAATAAATAAATAAATAAATAAATAAATAAATAAAAGCACTGACCCATGGTTAGATCGTGGTAAGTCTAATTATCTTCCATCTTGGAGGACTCATGCCCTTATACTGTTGGGGACATTTCGGGGCCCCAAGGGACCCAGGACAGGCTACTTCCTTAACTAAGGGGCTTACTTCCATTGTTTCTCTGTCCCTGAGGACAGAGGAACCATTATTATCATCCCCATTTTGCAGGTGAAGAAACTGAGGCAGACAGAGGCCAAAGACACTTGCCAGTCAGCAACGGGTTTGGATTCAGGTTTGTCCCTTAACTGTGACTTTCTGTTGCACTGCTGGGGGTGGGAACGCCATCGTCTTGTGTGGTCCGGGAGTCGCAGGTAGGTTCGGGGCCACGGAGGATCGGAGCCCCTTGTCCTCTATGTGTGGACTCAGTACTTCCTTTTTTCCTCTTTGCTTCCATCCCAGGGAGAGTCCTTCCTGTGCTGGATGGGACCTTCCAGGTCCTAAGTTTTTGTGGCTGCAGAGTCAGCTCAGAGCCATTGGGCCAAACTCAACAGACCCACAGACAAACTGTGGCACATGCTCTCAGGCTCAGGGCTGCTGCGTGGCCTTTTTCTCTCTCCTCCTCTCCCCGGCATTTTTTGCAATTTCTGGGACTTTGGGTTCCTCTCTGGCGTCCACTTTCTCTGGGCCTCCCAGGGTCTCTGTAACTGTCTAGACCTTCATCCTCCTCCCACAGCCCAGGCCACTACCCTAGCCACTGTCTGAAACTGACCTCGGCTGAGCCACTAATCCTGGTATTACAGGCAGCTCCAAGCTCAGGAACCCCAAGCT